TGAATATGCAGTGGTGGTCGTAAGGGATTGTCGTTCAACTGTTTAACCTGCAGATATCTACCCGTATATTTTTTTTGCTTAATTTCAAGGGTTCTGTAGGTGTGTTCTTTAACTATATTGCTGTGCGACGCGGCATTGGCTTCCATTTTTGATGAGCGTTGAATCGGCAAACATGTCTTGAAGTGTCCATGATCTCTATCGTAGTGTCTTCTTTGTTTTGCAGTTAAGTTGGTGCGTTTTTCGGCAGCGTCGGGATCACCTCAAAACAGACCGCAGCGCCAACGACTCGCACCAGATGAAGGGATCTGCAGAGGTTAATATCTCCTGCTATGACCTACCAGACAAGTCCACTCATTCGAGTCTTGAGGATGTCGATGAACGAGGCGAAGGACCGGTGGCAGGTCAGCGCCAGGTGGAAGGAGAAGTGTTAAACCCCTCCTGCTGTTGCTGCTGTTGCACATATACTTCCGCCGGCGCGCCTATAATTGCTTCTGCCAACTCCCTGCCAGTGTCTACCGAGGAGGCACCGAAACCGTCGGAGTACTGCGAGAGACTCCATCTCACTCCCGCTAGCGCCTCCCTTCCCGCTTCCCCTGCCATTCCACTGATTGAGACACATCCCTTTTTAGTGCAGCCGCCTTCACTTCCATCCAGGAGAGTAATTGAGTTGGGTCAACAGAGGGCTAACCTCATGGAATCCTCGTGTTCTGCAGGGGACATCCAACAAACCACTAGGGAAAAGGACCCTTCTGCTGCTGTATGCTATAGTGACGAACCTCCTAAAGCGAAAAACCGAAGCTTACTTGAACTGTGAGTTGCTAGCATCGATTATTTGGTTGGTGTGGTCTTACTCGTTACCCGTATGTTCATTTTGAATTGAACGTTTGACATAATTATTTTAATTTATGCTCCCTACTGTTCATGAGATTTATATTACTGCATCTGCATAGCATTGAGTGTATTCATTTTTTATACCTGTTCCCTTTCATTAGTATTCTTTATGCACGAAAGAAAGGTAGGTTTTGGTCATACGCCAGTATACTGCTTGTGATCATTGTTGCCCTTTGTTGCATGTGTGTAACAGCTTCGATTTTTCATCTTAGCAACAACTTAGAGAATTTTACTGGAAGGTGTTCGTGTTTTCCCCTCCTTGTAGAGATTTTCCTCTGGCTTGTATTGGTTCTTCAAGTGGATTCTTGTCAAATCAAAACCGTTTGTCTATCTTTTTATTCTTAACTGCCTTTAGATGGAAATAAAAGCATTGGCATTAGTTTATTTGTTTCTACTATAATCAGGATAAAGAGCCTTCACTACGCACGTAATTTTCTTCATCGAATATCTGCTTTTTAAAATAATCTACGGGAGTTTATTTTTTCGACAATCCTAACACCTTCTCTTCTATTTCGTGGGCAAAACATTTTCGTTTACTACGTCTTGCTTTGATATGCTGTTGTATTTAGCTAACATGGAGGTTTTGTGTTCTACTCTAGCCATCTTGATTTGACAAAAGGCAATCTTTTAACCACTCTCGACGAATTGAGAGGCGCATTGTGACGATACAGCACTTGTGATTGTCTTTCTTGCTTATCCATTGGCACCATTCATCGCTTACCTGGTTATTTAGTTAATTGTCTTGGGGTACAATGTCTAGTGGTTAGGTTTCACCTGAAGCTATGCCATCACTAGATATGAAGCCGGTTAAAGTTACATTTCTTTATGAATTATCGGGCTAGCCTTTTTTGCTCCTTCTATTAGCAATAAGAGTGCTAGTTATTGCTGTTTTCTTTAACCAAGTAAAGTACTTACGGCACATCCCAGTAAGCTTTAATATTCCTGAAAGTCCTTATGATGTTAGATGTTGAGTTATATTAATGCCACCATCTAGAGTTCCGGTGAGGGTGATCACACCGGGGCCTTTTCCCAGAGGTGTTTGCTCGTACGTCATGAGTACCGATATTGCCCTCTGAAATGGCCTTAAAATTGCAGGCTCTAGCATTTACAACGGGGAATGTTAAAGAAACTGACTTTTTTGCTTTACTTTAGTCGAAAACAATAATAGTTAGAGAATGGGATAAGTGGCGAAAGTTGAATAGGGTCATATTTGGGTTCTTTCATCTAGGCGTCGAGGTCCGCGTGCAGCGCTTGTGCTAAATTTGCACAGTGAAGCTTCGAGCAGTCCTTCACCACTTCACAGAGTGCTTCTGGGAGAAATAAGTGCCGCAAGTGAGGAGGACAACCGGCTGCTGTTCTCGGAGCACCCGCCGACCAGCTATTCTACCTTTGGACATGAATCGCCACTGTGCCTAGCGAGCGGTGAGACTTTGACGGTGCAACCGCCGATAGCACTTGCCATCGCCGCTACTCCACCTACCAATCTCTCACCACGCCCCAAGACTGGTGAAGAGCCCAGTCGTATAGCTGATCGTGTCACCCTGCGCACTGCCTCCCTTCTTCTTACTCCTGAGGCTCTTGAAGCAAAACTTGGGCAAGGAGGTGAGGACAGCCTCTATAAGGAGTTCTGGGACATTCCTATGAACTTTGCAAACAAAGCCGATTGCCCTTGGGTTGGAGTGGGTCAGAAAAATCGCTACCATGAGGTTCTGCCTCGTAAGTTTTTACGTTTCTGCCATCTCCCACACTCCTGGAGGCCTGGCATTTGGGCTATACAAAGTCACTATCACACCTAATCAAGCATTGTCTTACATTGTTTAGTTCCAAATCGAATTTCACAACACGTTTTTGTTTCCTCTTTTTAGACAATAATACGAGGGTCGTTCTTCCCGCCAT